GGGAAGAGACCGCTGGGGAGACCTAGACGTAGATGGGAGGATAATCTCAGGCGGGATCTATGGGAGATAGGAGTTGAAGGAAACTGGATTTTGTTGGCCCAGGACAGGGTCCGGTGGAGAGCTTTGGTTAATTCGGTGATGAACCTTCGGGTTCGGTAAGCCATCTAGTTAGTTAGTTAGTTAGTTAACCTTTGCCTCCCTCGCTTCCTTAGAACATTTTCTTGGATTTTTCATGCATTATTCATTTGTAGGAATCACCATCTCAGGTTCTTGGCCATATTCTGTCTGATTCCCAGACAGTGGTGGAAGATAACCAGTTAACATTCTGGATAATGTGATGTCTTTTTTTATGTCAATTCTTCCTGTGAATTTCTGGGATAGTAGGTACCTCAGTTAAGATTAATGTTAGTTGTACTCGTGTCCCTCCCAACCTGTCCTGCATATTAATCCTGCCGTATTTTGAGCGTTTTACAGTCTTCACAGTTGATACATCATTGATCAGTTGAATCAAATTAGACTTATTTAATATGAACACAAATATAGAAATTATGTGGAGTGTCTTCACACACTAGAGGAGATTATTGTATTGCGCTAAAAGTTATTCAATTTTTTTTTCATCTTTCAGTTTAGCGATGAAGAAGAAGAAACGAAGAGAATTGTTCGTTCTGCCAAGGAGAAGCGTTACGAAGACCTCACGAACATAATGAAACAGATTAGAAACTTCAAGAAAATAAAAGATATGAGCAGCATGTTATCGAGTAAGTGTAACTTGTTCCCTTTTACGTTTGTAGTCTCGGAAGGACTCTGATGTTTTATGAATGTTCCCATTTTGCTGCCTGCATCTGTGGGGCTGTAACATTATTGATTTGTGAGCGTGTTACATCCGGTTTTTCACTGGTCATGCCAAGGGCCTTGTGTCAGATGCTTCTATTAACAAAATGGCTGATTTACAGGATACTGAATTCTTACCCGGTGTCCTACGTGAGCGATTAAATGCGAGCGGTGCGAGTTGCGTGGATTAAGCGGAAATATCAAACTGGCTGTTTGTGTGGCGCTGTCCTATGTTACAGCGAAGCGGCCGGCGTCCAGAGTCCAAGATCAAATATTTTGATATTTTCGCGCAGGTCGCTGAGCTGACCACTAAGGCGCATGCACAGAAAAGCTCTGACTGTGCAGTACAGGGAAGGTGCATGCGCAGAAAGACCGTGTGCTTCTATTACGGTCTCTCACGTAGGACACAACAAGCGATTCCCTTATGTCATATGACACCCCATGCTGCTTATCCAGCTCGCTTCTTATCGCTTACCTAGGACATTGCCTTACACCTATTTGGTGTGACAAATGTGCGTTATTAGTGTTCATGTACCTGAATGGAACTCCATCATCAAGGCTGCTCTGATGATGGAGGCGGCAAGGTCCTCTGAAACGTCAGTAAACTTCTACCAGAGTATACGGCGCAACAACCTAGAAGATTTGAGATACACTTTTTTCACATTTTAAAATTTCTGAAATTCAGTGTAGGAAAATTATATTATATTACGAAAGGGCAACCGCGTTTCCATAACGCTAGGCAAGGGAAAGTAAACGTAAAAGTAAAGGATAAGAAGTTTTATGTTTGGATATCGACAATTCCTATTGAAAGCACGTGTTTTTTTCCCCTGGAAACCTATTACTACATCAGGGGTGCATCTCACAATTGATGGTGTCTTAAAATCGAGGAAACGTGGCATGTGTTGGAGAAATGATGTTGTTTTTTTAAATGTAGATCTTGTACATTTTTTTAGGCTTTGAGGAACTGATGCGGGCGTACACTAAAGCACTTCCAGTAATTAGTAAGGAGGAGAAAGGTCAGACGCCACGTTTCTATCTGCGTTGTCTTATGGAAATGGAAGATTTTATAAATGATGTTTGGGAAGATCGTGATGGAAGGTGAGTT